AGCACACTGGTATCTTACCATTATACTTAACTACTTAAGTTACACTTCCTGTCGCAGACTCTGGTGGAGCTGACAAAAGCTTGTACATTCTTTTCCTTTTAGCATAGCATTTTACATTACACATACATACAGGAAACGTCTCCTATAAGAATAGAGGCCTTGGTCTGTACAAAAAGCTGTGAACGATTTTGGATTCAGTACTGAGAAAGGCCTCAGATTACTGGATGCAATACACTACACCTAGTATATTTAGGTCCCTGCCAGATGTGCAGGTAAATGTGTAATGGGAGTTGATCCGCAATCAATACAATCATGCGTCCTGCCATGCCACATGTTCGCCCCAGAAGCTGGGAGCCCCGATCAGCTGTGGGCTCCCAGCCTTGGGGGTATATAGTGCATCACTGCAGCTGGAAATCCCATCAACTGACGGGGTTCCCAGCCACAGGCACATATGGTCAATTAATGGTGTGATAGGAACCAGCCACAAAGTAATTGCACATTTTTTGTGGAATAGCTTTGTGGCTTATTCCTCATTTCATAATGCCATTAATTGATTGAATGCATGGCCAGGTCACAACAAGATGCGATTAAGTACTTAAAGAAAGTAACATGTGGCAGGGGCCTTGCTGTTGCACAAGTGGTAAATTCAGAGACAGGAAGGAAAGAAGGCAGATAGATACACAGCCACAGAGACAGCACTTCCAAAGAGGAAAACATCACACAGTAATGCACAAGACACCATATGTTTGCCCCTGGAGTGAATGACAATGTTCATGAGAACGAAAGTAATGCCTTAGCTATGATCTCAGAAATACCTTTGGTTGTGGCTGTTTCTTCACAGTGGTAATTTCAGTTCCTTGCAGTCTCTGTTTCAAGGAATTGAAAGGTTTGCGTTTCTTGCTGAAGACTTTCTGGCATATTGGGGAATGCCTCATCTGGGATGCAAAGGAAAATAACATCTTGTGGAGCTAATGCTGCCTTTGACTAAGGCTGTATAATTACTTCTAACAGCATCAAGATTATTAACAGAGGTGAGAGAGGCACATGTGAATTCTGAATGGGATCCATTGGCCCTTTTCCCTTTCTCTCCTGATAATAAACTGCACTCTTCACCCTATCACCATCAGGATGAGATGTGCCAACTGTTTAACAATACTACATTTTAGAACAAGACAGACTTCCACTCATAGCTAAAAAGGCAGAGGGAATTTCTTTGGGACATACCAAGAGGGGAACCCGAGGAGAAGGTTTTACAACAGGGGCTGTAAAGTCTGACATACAGATTTGGAAGCTGTATAATGTCTAATATTGCTCCCACTGGTGCAGTAGCTTTGCCAGGCACAAACCGTGATGCAATGCTACTGCACCGTAGTAACAAGCTACTGTGCAGTAAACGTCACTAGGCAACCACGCCAGGATGTTACTGCCCAGTAACGCCAGTTATGGTGCAGTCATTTAGTATTTGGTTATGCAATTACTAAATGACTGTGCAGTTAGCAACTGTGCAGTGGTTGGCTCGTATAGATGTAGCAGCAGGACTAACTGGCTTTCTTTGAGAAAGCTGGTGTGAAAACTTGTGAGCCTCCATGTATGCAGAGCCCAACCTGCAGCTATTACTTACATCAGTAGTCCTCCTGGCCTTAATGAGACAGCCAATAGGAATAAGGTCTATGGGTTTGGGCCCCATCTGCTTTTTCCTTGTTTCTCACATTTCCTTCCCATTTTCTTGTTTTACTTCCAGCTTGCTGCCTATTTCCTTCCCTTTCCCATTGTTTTTCTATCATGAATTGTTACAGGATTGAGAGAAGACATTTCAACACCTCTTCAGAGGAGTTCAGAAGTATCTTTAGTTACCACAGATTTTTCAACATCCCCTCCTCATGTTTTAAGAGCATGCTGCATTGAACTTTTCCCAATAGCACATGAAACGAGGCTCTGGTTCAGTGGGAAGTGGAAACTATCCTTTGGCTGATCTTCTCTGCGCAAGAGGTGCAGCAACCGACTTCCTGGACAACTGGTTTCCACATCAGTCTTGAGGACACCTGACTTTTGACAGGATTGCACCTCATGTCAAATTAGACATTCACAAAGGCTCTTCTTCCAAGGGAGGCACACATTGATTTCTAGTCTTAATTTATTGACCTAGTCCAGTGGGGGTCAACATTTTTGGCAGGCATGCCACAAATTAGCTCTGTACCCACCCTAAGTGTCACACCATCCCCCTGATTTGCTGCTCAGCTTTTTGCTTCACCAGTGCTCCATGCCTGATCTGATGCTCAGCTTTCTGCTCCCTGCCCTATCTGCACAGTGCTACCTGTCCCCTCTCCAGTGTGCCATGTACCACACACAGATGCTGCCTGCCATTTGCGACATCTGTGCCACTGCTTGGCCACTCTTGACCTAGTCCATCAAGGCTCAGGTTCTAATCCAGGGTCCAGGGAAGGCAATGAGTCTTTCACCGACTTGAGTAAATTTTGGATTATGCCTTTCATACACATTACGCTGTCATGGTAACCTCACAGTTGTTTATTTTGCCCAGGGAACTTGAAAGCTATTGCTGGAAAAGCTCACTGCAGAAAAGCTTTAAAGGGGCACCAGTAGAGGGCTTTTTTACAGGTTGCAAAGCTGCAAGAAAACAGAGCTGCCAATTACTCCCTTTCCTAATTAGGACACTTTCCAAGAATTGTGCAGTATTTGGGATTAAGCCAATTTTAATGAAACCCGATTAATTCCCTAATCTACCTCAGTCATGAAAGTACTTTTCATACCATTTTACTTCTTTCAACATCTGCAGTTAATCTGCTTGCATTTACCCACTTCTCTTCTCCCCATCCCTAAAGCTCATTTCTGCTAAATGCATCCACACACACATACAAAAAAAAGCCTCAGGGTACTTTTCAGAAAAGAAAGGGCTTGTCCTGGCATTTCTGGGCAAAATTATTCTTCTTGCTCACCAGAGACACAGTAGGGCAGCTCTGTGTGTCAGCCAGCTGCAGTGGTGCTGATGCAATTAATTCCCACTGCAGCCACAACTATTTTTGTGCCTCTGCCATCCCCTTATCAAGAGAGTGCCGAGGACTGCTGCTGCCCTAATCACCCTGCCCCTCTCCCCCACCCCGCCACACACTCAGTTATGCTACTGTTGCTCGCTATTATGTAGCGAACAACAAACAGTATGTTGGTTGATTGCTGTGCTACATCTCAGGGATGGCTGTTCTTAGGTTGTGCTACAGGTATACAGTTTGGGTGCATCTACATGAGACGTCAATTGTGCAGCAGACTAATTAGCTATGCAGAAAACATCTTGGTATCTACACCTGTGTCCCTATTAGGCGGGAGTAAACTAAATTTACTCTGCAGCAGGATAGTGCTTGTAATTTAACTACTATAAATACAAGTACTATCCTGCTGCAGAGTTTACCCCACCTGCCTGGGGCACTAGGGTGTTTCAGTGCTCCTGAGTTTATTGGTCCAGGACACACATTCAAACAGCATGCCCAGGAGCAATAAACTCCAGGACAGTAAACTCCATAATTTATAGCTTCACATTAATTGCACATGTATACGCACACCTTATGAAACCCTGTGGGATCCTTCAGGCTGACAGGTTCTACACAACTAGAAAATATCATTGTATAATTAATTTGCTTTACCAGAACATCTTGTTTAAAGTGCCTTCCACAGATTTCACAAGGAAGCAAAACTTGACTTCCGGCAGCTGTATAAAATTCAAAATAGCAAGCTATTAGTCACACTGGATCTCTTGATCACAAAGGAATCAATGTTCAGAGTAGATCTATGATTGCTGGAACTAACTGCTCTATTGGCAGAGGGGCTCTTTATAAAAGCATCATCAGGAGATGAATCTCTCCCCCCAGACCGTTGTGAACTTACCACAATGATGGAGTGAATCCCCAACCTTGCAGATATCCAGAGTGCATTTCTTCTGTTTCTCTCACTGACGCATGGTGTCAGGTTCCTCATTTCCACAATTGAGAGGTACTTACAGTTACTTTATGGTTTCATACAAGAAAAACTGTCCAGGTTGACCATTCAGCTGAGGACTAATTAACTGCATGCTTAGACACCACAACAATACTATATAAGCATATATAATACTTTAACTTTGAATTGTGGGCAAATTATTGTTCCTACATATTTCTCCTCAGTCAACCAGTATCTCTGCTTATCAATACCTCTGCAGAATTGGCGAATACCTCTGACCTGTGGCTATCTCTGCTTATTTCTGTCACCATCCCTGTGACTCCTATCTTATCACCTAGTAGGAAGGGCTCTTTATCTGTGCTTGCAGTGCCTTTATTCATCTGGCCTCTACTCACCTTTCCCTCTACTGATGCCCAGATTACTGTAGTAGGGGTGCGGGTAGCCAGGTCATATTATGAAATCCGGATGAAAGACAGCCGGTGAGTAAAGACACCTTATTCCACCTTAATCACAAACCACTTATATCACTGGCTCGCAAGTGGTGCGACTGGCAGGTCTAGAACCTGAGAGGTAGGGAAGACAGGACAAGTATCTGGCATGCAGTCTTCCTTAACCAAGTCTGGAGGTAAAAGGGAAATGCAGGTCCCATAACAAATTCAAATCCTCAGCATCTCTGCTGACTCCACCAACAAAAATGCCAATTGTGAAGGTGGAAAACTATCCATGCCACCACTAAGAATGGGACTGTAACAGATTTAATTGACCAAAACTGCTACTAAATAGTAGCAACTAGTTATTACCAACCACCATGAACGGTTCAACAAAACACACACAGATATACCTGTGACATCTCTCAGTAAAAGTGAAACAGTGAAAAGTGAGTAGAATACATTTTTAATTTTTGGTTAATGAAAAATGTTCTTTGAAAATAGAGGGAAAGCTTTCATTTTCTCAGCCTCCTCCTCTGGAAAACTGAAATAGCTGAGAAAAACTGAAAGTCTAGAGAAAGTAATTCTCTCTCTCTTCACCTGACTTTTCAAATGGAAAATATTTTAAAAGTGAAAACAGGAACACCACCTAAAACTAAGTACTTTTCTGAAGTTAAATTAACAAACTTTCATTCTTCATAAAAATTCTCAAAGTTTAGTCATGGGATTACAGGGAAGGCCCACTCATGGATTAGAAATTGGTTTAAGGATGGAAAACAGAGCGAGTATAAGTGGTCACTTTTCAAGATGGAAAAAAGTAAAGAGCAGGGTTCCCCAGGGATCTGTATTGGGACCAGTGCTGTATGACAGTCATAAATGATCTGGAAAAGGGGGAGAGTAGTAAGGTGGCCAAATTTGCAAATCTATAATAATAATAGGCATACTCTGTCTGTCCAGAGCACTCTGATTGGTTGTCTTGGCAGTCTTCACAATGCTTACTGAAACAACCAACCAGAGTGCTCCCAACAGGCAGAATAAGTATGTTATTATTATAGATCCTGAGACATTTCAAACAGATAGGCAGGTAAATCAGAGCTAGAATGAAGCACCAAGGCCCCCGCCTTGAAGTGGGCAGGCTCTGCCGAAGGAAAAAAAAAAAAAAAAAAGCAGTGCGGGGGCCTGATCCTTTTTTTTTCCTCCTGGGAGCCTGCCCACCTCTCCCACAGCCAGGGAGCGAGCTGCTGGCCAGTCACACAGCCCCTGAGTTGCAGGGATCCCGGTGCTTCCCTCCATGGCAGTGGTGTCCCCCGAGCAGGACCCACCCACTGTCACCCCAAGTTTCATCGCAAATGCTTTGCAGGTTTCAGCTAGTAACACAAAATTATTCTAAGTAGTAAAGGCCAAAGTGGACTGTAAGGAACTATAGAAGGATCTGGCATGCTTCAACAAATAAGCAATTAGATGGCAGATGTAGATAAGTATGAAGTGATGCATACTGGCAAAAATAACCCAAACTGTATCTATGTTGGGACCCTGAATTCAGTGGACAGAACCCACTGTGATGAGTTAGCTGTTACTACACAGGAAAGAGATCTAAGAGTCATTGCGGGCAGTTTGTTAAAAACCTCAGCTCGGAACTCATCAGCCATCAAAAAGGCAAACAAAATGGTAGGGATTATTAAGGGAATTGGGAACAAAACAACGAGAATCATTATGCCCTTTTATAAATCCATGGTGCATCCACACCTGAATACTGGGCCCAGTTTTGGTCCCCACACCTCAAAAAGGAGACAAGAACTAGAGAAGCTACAGAGAAGGGCAATGAGGATGGTTAGTAGTATGGGGGGGGGGAGGGGGCTTCACTATGAGGAGAGACTAAAGAGGCTAGGTCTATTCAGTTTAGAGAAAAGATGCTTGAGGGGGGATATGGTAAGCATTACAAAATACTAAATGGTGAAGAGAAAGTAAACAGGGATTTATTATTATCTCACAATACAAGAACTAGGGCTCATAAAATAAATGGAGTAGGCAGTAAGTTTAAAACTAAAATAAAGTTATTTTTCACACAGCATAATATTGAAGTATGAAACTCATTGCCACAAGATGTTGTGGAAGCTGACAATTTAGGTAGATTAAGAAAAAAAAACAACTCTTGGAAAAAAGGTGACCCAGTAGCTATTGAACATGGGAGGAGTTTAGGGTAAAGCCTCTGACTCAAAACTTCCTAGAACTTAAATGCTGGAGGTTACAAATGGAAGAACAAAGGAAAAAAACCCTTGTCATTCTGTTCTCCTCCCCCTTTCAGTATCCACTCTCTGCCATTGTGACACAGGATACAGGACAACATGGCTCTACGGCCTGAACCAGTAAATGGCAGTTATGTTCTTTTCTATAAAGGTAAAACATTTTGATCAACTCGTGGCCATACAGGTTTGGAATTCTTGACTTAGACTCTGAAACATGCTTAAATGAGTGATGTTGAATTTGCTGCAAGTTGCATATATGACAATCATTTTTTAATTTCTCAGTATTTTAGTAGCCAGAATGTATTATTTCCCCAATAACCTGTGACATTTTGTATAAGCCAGAAGCACACTTGTTCAAACAAGGATCTCCTAACTTCTGTACAGTTTCATATCGCATCTTTGAGGCTCTGAAAACAACTAGTGTTGAAAAATCATACTAATATTTAAAGTTGAAGGCCATGTTGTTAGAGCATGGTGTAGAATATGGCTGTTCAACTTAGTTGGTCCTTTGGGCCAGATGCCCCACCTCTAGCAGCAGGGCAGTGGTTTGTCAATGTGGCTGTGGGAGCTGCTGCTTTGGCACAGGCCTGTAACCCAGATGAATGCCACCTTTCCTTACCCCACTTTTCCACTGTTTCCAGTGTAGATGGCAGTATTCACCCCCTTGGCTCTGGAGCTATGCCCATACAGTGGCTTTGGCATCTGTACCAACAAGCCCCACAGCCTGCCAGGTGGACACCTCCGGTTTAGGACAATGCAGTTCTTCAATGACATCATAATAGCAGTATAGAGAAGCAATACAATGTGTCCATGCTGTCTCACTGCAGAGATTACAGCTTGATGGATCAAAAACTAGATGTTCATGATGAGGCTCAGTTTATTTCAATCCGTTCATTTGTAAACAACAAAGAATCAGGATCCTTAATGGCAAAGGGACCTATTTAACTTGAATATGATTGCCTACAGTTTTCAGGCACTAAGAGACATTCTGCAACCAGTGCAAGTGTGATAAGGTCTTCATTCTTTTGTGACAGAATGTGAGTTTTCTTTCTTCAGAAGATTAATATTTATCTTAAGTTTATTTAGTCCTATCAGCTACCACCACATATCAAATCCCCCTAACTTACAAATTTATATATATTAGAGCACAACTGACCTGCATATGAATCTCTGTTTTATTATGCTGTTCCAAATCAAATGTACAGAGATAAAAGCTGACATTTTGGGAGCCAAGTGTGATTAGTTCTATGTACCCAAGTAAGTAAACTACCCATGATGTAGCCTTGCTATTATTCTTAGAACTTCTTTGCATAATAAAACCTGTACGATCATCTGAGGACAAGGAGGAGAATTTGTAAGTTATCTTCACTACATCAAAAGGAAGCAAAGTCATTTTCAGGAGCACTGAACAGCAGTACTTGAAAGTGCCGGTTAGTGCATCTCAAGAATGCTATTGGAAAAGGTCAGGGTTTATACGACATTTTCACGTCTGCTTTCTACTTGTTTTTCCTCCTGATGCAATTTCATTGAAAAACAAATTTCAAAGTGTTTTGATTTCAATGGATAAATTGAAAAGCTTTTCCAACTCTAGTGCTCCCAAATAATATATAAAATAAGAATGATTTGTAATGTTCTTTGCGCTAAGCCCACTGTAAGCAGATTGCTCAAGTTTCCCTGTAAAAGGGGTCACAATTATTTCTATTGTTCAGGGAAAAACAAGACTTATAGGTGCAACACCATGCTGTTCCACCTCTGAAGGAAAGAACAGGGTTGAAAAGCTGAGCAGAAATAAGCACAATCCAGGGTCTATAATATTCACTTGCATGTGGTAAGTTCACTACACTATTCAACTGCTTGTGGTAATTTGACTTAGCAGTGAAGTTGTTGGCTATAAAACTCTTTTGTCATCTAATTGTTAGTCTTTTAATATTTTTCAACCACCTATCTTTTGTCCTATGGGTATTCTGCTTCCAGAGCATCAGTCCAAGTAGTGAGATATGGACTAAAAAAAAGAAAAAGTTAAGTACAAGATGTTGAGTAACCTGAAATAGACCCAATTCATTTGGGAGATGGAAACAGCTGAATCTAAAGCTGACAAGAGTGCAAAGGACAGACAAAATTTTCTTCACTACCATATATTGTATTATTTGAAGTAAAGTCGAGGCCTTGTCTCCATCTTGTTCACAAGTCTGATTCAACGATTTTATACTGCTCAACCACAGATCATAGATAGACATCAGAATTGACCAGACCCACATTATATGGTTTCTAACTCATTTTCATGTTTAGTAAACCAAAAAATTATGCCATTCAAAATGTAGACTCTGCACATTACTCACTTGCTCCACTTAATTCCTTCACAGGCATTTGATTCATCTCAATATGCAGATTCCCTCTTCAGGACTGCATTAGGAGACATGGACACTGGGTGGTCAGCTATCTTTACTCAAAGTCCACATACTTGTGAACAGCCAAATCATCAGTTATCATCAACCAAATAATTAACAATTATGACACATACACACATACTCCCCCAGTCTGTGATGCGCATGAAAGGCAGCGAGGACAAGACTCAAGGCCTGAAATTGTTTTTTTTCCTACGTGATTTTTTTCCTTCTCATTACCATAAGAAGATTATCTATTTCCCAGGGTGGATAAAAATTAACGATTTAAAAAAATAAAATAAAATAGGATTTTAAAATATAAATCAGATTTCTTTTATTTAATCATATTTTTTTTACTTTTTTGGTTATGATGCTTTTTAAAAAAAACACCTATATAAAGGTAGTTTTAAGATATGTTAAAGCTCAAAGATATCATCATAGAATAGGGATTACAACTCCTAATTATATACTATTTGAGACAATATATTCATGTAACCTTTTTAGAAAAGTTTTATACGTAGGTCACAACAGGCCATGGACTATATTAGGGGCCCAATCTTACAGGTCTCCCAGAGGCTCCTCTATAGATTAGTAAAGATTAAAGAAAATCACTTTACCCAATGGGACTCAGTGCTCAGTCTAGAAGAGTGTTTCTCAACCTCTGGGTCACAAGAATATTTGAAAGATTGTGAACAAACTTTAAAAATAGATTGTCCTTTAAAAGTGAAAAACATGGGAAACTGGCTAATCTCTTGCAGGCTGGCAGTTACAGCCTGCAAGGAGCTGCTTGGAGGCTCCTTGGGGTCCTGCATGGCCCAGACCCCACTCCCACACACCTACCTCCTGCCCCACGCACTGGAGGGGGTTGGAGCCTGGGGGTGGGGGGCAGCAGGTTGGGCGTGAGAGGCACTGGGTTGAGACTAGCCATCAAATTTTTACAAATGGGTCAAGGCACAAAAAAGGTTGAGAACCACTGGTCCAGAAGTTCCTATTAAGCATCTCTGATGCTTAGTTTCAGTTCTCAAACTGGATTTGTGTCTCCAGAGTTAACATCATTGTTAACAGCAGTATATGGAGATGAGAGATAAAAGACCTGATTACCTACCCATCAACCCTCTTGTCTCTGCACGTTTGTGTGGAGAACAATGATTAAATTAAAGCTTCCTGACCAGTGATTTACATCATGATTTAAATCAATTTGATTTAAATAAAATCCACCCTGCTACTTCTTCATGATTTGGTTAAGGCAGAATCTGGGGGAGATTCTATTAAAAAATGGAGACCAAATTTCTGATATTCAAGCTGAAAAAAATCAAACAAGTACACAAACAAATCTCCAGTGGCACAGGTTAAAAACAATGCAGTTTTAAATGCCTTTTACATTTGCTCTTCGTTGATTGGCATTCGTAAGAATGTAAAGGTAATTTTGGGAACCAATAGTTTAGCATAACACAGTAAAATTGGGGAAAAAACAAATGGTTTGTCAATCTCATTTAGGTTAGAGTGGCTTGTGCAGAGGAAACCAAAGACATTTCCAAAAGCAACTAAGTACGGTCACTGAACTGGAACATAGCAAACAATATGACAAACTAAGAGAGATAAATTAAAAGAAAATCAGAGAACAGGTGGACAACTTAAAATAGAAAATGGTTATCTTATGATTTCTGGTTAAGGCCCCAGGTGGATGTAATGTTTGAAGTCTAGAGAGCATACAGATGTTCACAGCTGAAATCATGCTTTATAAGAGTTTCTCAAAAAATGAACATTTTTGAAGCACTTCCTGAAATATCTGTATGCACCACAGTGGATGGCAGGGGATTGTTTAGACCTCTGGCATCTCACTGTGCTGTTTTCTCCTGCCTCAACATGGGGAGTAGATGGGGGCAAACAGCCAGGCAATGAGCACTCCCCATTGGAGGGAATGCAAGGATTCCTGCTCTTCAGTCTTACAGCTGGATACAATGAATCCTTGCATGCCTTCTTGACCTCTAGAACTGGCAGACTAGAGGCTAAGCACACAGACCACACCCACACACCAGACACATACTGTAACACACCCACACAGCACCCCCACCCCACACATTTTGTTGTTTTTCTGGTTGTGAACAATTTAATATATTACTGTTTGTTGTACAATGTTTGCTATAGAGAGTCTTTAATGCTGCCAGGTTAACTTCAATTTCAAGAGCAACATTAACAGTCATTTCTGACTTTGAGGTTTTAAACTGAGCAACACACACGTTGCATCAGATGCATAGGCAATAAACAACAGCACAGGGGTGCTGTGAAAAAATCTGCATAACCTTGATATACGAGACTATGTTAAATCAAGTAAGTCATTGTATTTAAGTACCAATATAAAGGGGAAGAATTTATGTATTGTAATACATATGTCCAGACATTTGTTGGAACATGACACTTACATGAAAAAATATATTTTTCTATTAGCGAGCATCATAATATATTCCCAGTGCATCTTAAGTGTATCACTTGTCGCCATATTATGTTCATAAAAAATACAATATTACTATTAATTTTAGTTTATAACAAAATGATTCACCTCATCTATACATTTACAAAAAATAATAAAAGTGATAAGATCTGGTTGTAGAGTTACTCAAACACCTTTTTTCTCCATTTCTGACATGATGGGACAAGGTTAAGTCAGCAGGATCCATCCCAAGATTCTGGCACAAAACACCAATGCAAGGATATTCCACAATAAGAGTCAGTTCAACTATGACAGCTTGAGCCCTTGAACGTTCTGCCTCAGGTTAAGCAGCTCTTTTTCTTGCCTTGTTTTTTCCAGCTTGAAGGCCAATTTGTTGGCTTTCTTTTCCATTCTGCGTTCCTGAACATAGAACGTATGAACATATTACAACTGTTTTCTAGATTTGCTGAGGAAAATGTTAGGACTTTCCCCTTCCCAATCACCTTCAAAACCCCAGACAGATCTTGGAATAACTGTTATTTAGCATGAGTCTAATAAACACACAGAAGTAATACCACTGTGCATTGTTCTCTTGTCCGTCTCCTAAGTGAAAAGAAGAAACTGAGAAGAGGAAGAAACTTGAAGGACTGGTAACTATTAAAACACATTTTCCTACTTCGTGTGCGCACTGGAGGGGTGAAGGGGGGGGAAGGGGGGGAAAAAAAAAAAAAAAAAAAAAAAAACACAAATTTTCCAGCATTCTACCCCAACTTGTCTGCATATCATTCTCTGATGGCAGAGAATCCCAAGACCACTGGAAGAAGGTTGGTGACTAGCTCCAGAGAGCAATGACCAGACTGAAGTCTGTGATAGGAAGCAGCAAAGGGATTTGACATGAATGGCCAGAAACCGCAACCTTAGGCCCCTAGGTTTGAAGCCCCCCTACCTCCTACCTGAAACTTCTAACCTCTGGAATGGATTTATAGTACTTGCCAGTTCAAGTTCAGATGGCCTGGAGCTGGACAGGGAATCTGGGACCTTCATCGGCAAGACAGGATGCAAACTGAACTGCAAACAGCTGTGGTCTTTACCACAAAGACTGACAAGGAAAAAAACCACCAGGCATAAGAAGGAGAAACCCTGATGCTACATTTTACCTTTCGTTCTTCTTTGACAGCCTGCTTTCTAGCTTTTCGATCTTCTTTGCTCTCGTTTTTGGAACGTGGCTGTGTGGATGCTCTTGGCAGGTCACTGTCATTAATCATTTGCATGCGTTCAGTCTGCTTAGCTGTAAGACCTCTTAAAGGCAAGACATCCAGTGGGATTCCAGTCTTCTGGGAAATTTTAATTGGTCTGGTCTAATACACAAATAAAACAGATCTGCCTAAGGACTTGCTTTAACCCTCCCTTTTCTTCTCTTCTGTTTACTAAAAATCACTCTTGCCTACTTCCAAAAGCACAGAATCACAAAGTTTCATAATAATACCACAGAAATTTCCCAAAGCAAATTCTTCCTTCAGACACGTTTACCAATTCCAAAACCAACACGGGCAACATGTACACATATAAAAAAACAGAGAAAATAACTTTCTTGACTTAATATTTAAGTCTTACTCAAAGACAATTTTCAAAACAAAAAAGTTAGACTGTATACTTTTGCCTTCTTTATAAAGGTCTCAGCAAGAAAAGAAGTTGCAGATCTTCTTTTTTAAACCTCAGAAATGTCAGGTATATAAAATTAGATTTTATCTTTTGAAAATTCTCCAGAAAAACAAAAGCAACTAGAATGAATGTTCTCAGCCTTCAATTAAAACAGGAAGCAAAGTTCTATCTTCATGAAAACTTTTTTCAAACATATTTGTTTTACTTACTTAGTATGTTTGGTATGCAAAATTACTAGTTCCTCCTTTCTTTGTGGATTATTGATGGCTGATTACACAAACTTAAAATTGCCAGTGTTTATAATAACTAAGCTTTGCCTTAATGCTTCCCTCTTATTTCTTTACATTTTTAAAAATAGGAACCTTCTGGGAGATTTCTGAATGCATGAATTAAATGTGCACATGGGAATCTAAACTTAGCTTCTCTTCATTGAATCTGCTGATGGCAACTAATAGTATTAACTTTATGTTCAAAAAGTATGTAGTGATGGCCAGCATGGCAGTATTCTTATTCACATCAGTGGCTTGAGACATCTTATTTAAGGATATACTCTGACAAATGCAACACTTTCTAACTCACCTGTATATATTACGACAAAGTAAAAACAAAGCACATTCTCCTCACTTGTAGCTCAACTTAAAGAAAAAAATGCAGCCACTGGGAAAATAGTAGAGGTGCACCAATACATTGGTCTGATATTGAATTGGCACCGATAAAGAAAATTGACTGTATCAGCCTGATGTGGCCAATCATTTAGTTGATAAATGCCCTGTGCATGCGTTCAGCCATAGTGCAGCATGTAGGCAGCAAGGAGCACAGCCTGACAGCTTGGAGAGCTACATACAGCTGCTAAGTCTGTTGTGGTGGAAAGAGAGGGTGGAGGGAAGGGGTGTGTGGGGGGGGGGGGGCAGATCAAGGCCCCCGTGGTAAGGGAGGGAGTGTGGCTGGGGCAGGCACTGCGCAGCTGGGGTAGATCGGGGCATGCGATGGAGCTGTGGGCACATCCAGGGGGGTGGCTCCCGCCGCTATGTGCACCCCAGAAGGGCATGGGGGGGGTGTGCCCCCAGATCTGCGCGGGGTAGGCTGGCCCTGCGGGCTGGGGCCAGGGCTGTGCTGGACTCTTCCCAGTGGGGGCTGGGCCAGGCTGCACTCGTGCTGGGCAGCAGCAGCACTGGGAGTGGGGGGGTTATGGAAAACTTTGGGGTGGCTGCAGCCCCCTGGTAGCTGCCCTGCCAGCACTGCCACAAGCCTTTCCCCATCCTGTTCCACCACAACAGACTTACCAGCTGAACGCAGCTCTCCAAGTTGCATATCGGAAATTGGATCAGTATTGGCTAATATGCCTCCTTAAAAATCGGTTATTGGTATTGGCCCCAAAAATCTCTATTGGTGTACCCTTAGAAAATAGCGGTCTCTTAACTATACAAAATGTGCTCAGAATTCTACGCACTTCAT